AAAATAATAATTCCCCGGTGTTTGTGTGGTAAACATTATTGAATGGGAACTGAACATGGTGAGATGGTGAATTTCTAACAGTAGAGATTTGACTAACATGGGATGATCTATACAGGAAGATCAGCTCCTGAAGATTCCAGGGATCAACTGAATATACTGCTTGAGCATTATTTCTCTAATTTAAGACTTATTTTGTATTTGAGCCAAGTGTAAAAATTCCCCAAGTCAACTCCACTCATGGAGGTCTTCTGGCCACCAATGCTTCTCCAGGTCATGGTGTGGTTGATTAGTGCAGCACTTTATCCAGGTGTGTTTTGGTTCTTCAGGATGTCTAGATTAATTCTGCTCCTCCGTCTGCCCTGCTATCAGTGCTACGTCACTCTGTTGGGGGTGGAGGAAGCCGAGAGAATGAAGGCTAGCGTTTCGGATGAGGAGGAAAGGCAGAGAAGGCTGACTACCATTCAGAGAGGAGTGGAGCAGATCAGCAGCCAGCTACGCCACCCGAATTCTTCGTAGGACCTATACTTGGCCTGGATTCCTTACAAAATTTCCTTGAATTGTTTGCACACTCATGCATTTTTATTTATTTATTTTCTTGAAGGGAGTCTGCAGAAGAGTTCCTACCATGCCTCTTGGTTTCAAAAGGGAAAAAACTGCTGTCAAGGCTCCTCCCATTTCTATCCCATGATGCATCTTTGCAGGTTCTGAGAGCGATCACGACACACCTGCCGGCGCTGATGAGCCGAGACATAGATGAGGTCTGAAGCTTTTCGTCTGTTAATTGTCTAATAGTCGGCTCAGTGCTTTGTTTGATTTAATGCCCGTACTTTAAAATACTGTACGCTCCGATACTGTATAATGGCGTGTACGTTGTCCTGCTAATGCACAGACGACAGCAAAAAAAGTGCCGGATGTATTTCCTGATTTAATAAACACTGAAAACCGTACTTCATGAAAATACCAAGAGGATGGACTAGAGCATCTCCTAAACCCGATACAGCATCTTTATGCCGTTTTTAATTGGACTGCATGTGAGCTGATGCCCCATGGTGTTGTGTGTAAGCTCACCATGAGGGAATGGTGGGCCAATGGTACAACTCTTCCTTCCCTCAGGCTCTTCCTGTCCTCTACCCCTCGCTCCGAGCTGTGATTGGTACATTGACGTTCTCCCAGCTAGTCAGCATCCTCCGGGACTTCACCACAGCCTTACCTGACTCCAAAGACTCGCGCTTAACACTGGCCTGCCAAAATAAGGTGGGTGTGTGTGTGTGTGTGTGTGTGTGTGTGTGTACGCGTGCATCCTTATTTCAGCAAGAATTCAGCCTGCTCTGGGGCTGTGCGCTTTAAATAAGAGCGTGAGAGACAACCTTCCTTGTTTCTACACTATAAAGTATCTGCCTGACGAGTTGTTACCATAGAAACCATAATGTATTCGAAGGAGTGCATTAATATAAACCTGTGATTTGGTGGTATATTAAAACTTTTGCACCAAAATGTTGCAATCATGCGCTCCTGTTTTTGTTTATTTTAGTTTGGTCTGTCGCTGGTGTACGCGTTGCTTTCACAAGGCGAGCGACTCCTGACCTCCGACATTCCCATGGAGCCAAGTATTGGTGATTTCGAGACCTGGTAATGCAATGGGAGGCTTTTGGGATGGTGCATGCACTTCAAATATGTCCCGTGTATACGCAAATTTTTAAAATTTATTTAAACCATTTGTCTTCCTCTCTGCTAGGACGGACACTGTTTTCCACGTGGCGCGGCAGCTGTCCCGCTCGTCCCTCATCGAGCCGCTCTGCTTGCCCTCCAATCTGCTCACGCTGTTCTGTCGCTATTTGGACAAACGCACCGTCCAGCAGCTCAAGAACAACATGGAGTAAGTCTATTCCTGTGCTGGTGGTTTTTGGACCTTTTCATCAACGTTTTCTTGGTAGAATCCATGTCACGTGCCATTTGGGAAGTTTCTCAGCTCACCGTTTTGATCCTTCATCTAATACACATCAGTGTACACTTACCCAGAAACCATCACTTAAATCTAGCACTAGGTTAGACGGAAAGTCCCCTTCCTGGTGTCTCCTTTAAAATGTCCCTGATATGCAGATATGGAAATACCCCCCCCTTTTTAATTAAACAAGTTTTTTTTTAATATAGTAAAATTCTACTTTTTATTTGTTTGTATTAATTAATTAATTAATTAACTTATTTTTCCCCAGGTCTTCAACTGGCTATCTGGCTGTAGGTTCCTGAGAGGAAATTTTCCTTCCCCCCTTTCTTTAAGCCCGTCCGTACAGAAACTCCCCACGTTCCTCATCGGATCCAGATGGTGATGTTCAACATTAACCCCAGACTCGCATAAATATGCATGGGAGGAAAAAGGGGGGAAAAGAGAACGATTCAGCCGTTTGAGTGAAAAATATCAGGACTGATTTATGTTTCACCAAAAAAAAAAAAACCTAGCTTTTTTTTTTTCTTTTTTTTTCCCTTTAATTTAGGAGAGATTCATTTCCACATTTTGTGATGTATGTGTCCATTTTATTTATTGTACCTTTATTTCATCACTTAAGTGATATTTAAGCACTGTTGAATAGCATGTATAAAATGCAAAAAAATGAATAAATGCAATTCTAAAAATGTACTACGTCTGAAATGTTTTTAGTAGAACATTTTTATTTAGCTCCGTTTATGTTGGTTGCCGCAATGTGTGGCTAGTGACGATCCCCCTTGTGCTGAGGTTTATGTGTAAGATCTTCTGGTGTTTTTTAATAGCGTGTACGTGCATACCCAACTCTCCCATTCTGAGTCCTGTTGAAACTTGTGTATCATGTTTATGATTGATCTCAATCCAAGAGCAGGTGTTGAAGAGTGAAGGTCTTTCAGACTGGTTAGATGTCTGATTAGATTTATGTTCGGACAAATCCTCAGCTTGTTGATCTGACTTAGAGAGTGGCCTCTGGTTTCAGTCTAAACATTTACATCATGCTAAAACTCTTCAGAGACTCCCTATGGCCTCCATATGAACGTCTGGCTTTCTGGTTTGGGCTTCACATTCCTAGGCGTTCTGCTGGGGTAAATGTAAAGGGATTTTTTTTGCAAGTGGAGGAAGCTTCATATCCATCCATTCCCACATTTTTAAACTAGCAGTTATCATTTCATTGTTCTACGATGTCCAAGGTGATTTTTTTTTTGTATTGGCATCAGAACGTCACTGCTGGTGACGAAGCCAGTGGAAAAAGCAGCTACTGCCACGTTGATTGGCGGGGTCGGACTGGGACTGAAAATCGGCCCAGGACTTTGAAACGCACCGTATACAGTTCACAAATACAAATTCACATGCCATCCACTATATAATAATAAATTAGGATTCAGTGCTATTGATTGGTTGTTAACAGCATTTTTGATCTTATAATACAGTATTTAAATAAATTATTTGGCACCAGAAGCCAGTCCCACTCCCACCTTAGACAAACAGCAGGTGGCGCATCTGTGTACTTTTTTCTCTGCAACATCACTGTCAAGAGCTATCAGAATCTCCTTTTCTGTAGCCATCATCATGATGCTCTAAAAGTGATCTTGGGACACGGTGTTTCTTGGTCTGTTCTTGATCAATTTCAAGGTTGAGGAAACTACTTTCATGTACCACTTGATTGAATGAGTGAGGAGGAATTTAAATGCCAAACCTCATCACTATCCAGGAATTGGAGTGACTCTTGGCACGTGTTCGTCTTGCCATGATGCCTTCAGTCTTTCCCACTGTAATGCCAAACTCTTTAATTCAGATTGAAGTCTTTCAGCCTTTTGCTCTTTCATTAAATCTGACGAGGCATTTTCTGACTTTTTCCCCAGTTCTATCGTTGATGGCCCTTTCTGCCATATTTCTAAGAAGTTCTTCAGATCCATACCGGTGAAATCTTTCCAAAGGATGCTCTCTACCACTGTGTCCATGATTTACATTGTGCTTTCGTTTTGTAATCAATGGCAGGATCTGGTGAAGTCTCCTCCACTGATAACTTTCCCTGTGTATTTTTATATTTTTTTCTTCTTCCTGACATGTTTTTCAGGGAGGGAATCATGTACCTCCAGTCTGTTTCTGAAGCTCTGCACTGGCCCACTCCACAAAGCCGTCAGCTGCTTGCTTTACACCCTCAAAGTCCCTGTCGCACTCCTTCAGGCTGTCTTGAGTGCCTGGAACCAGACGATGGGCAGTTAGGATATCCAGGCAACTGATTTGCATGTTCTTGACACCAACCACACTCTCCGGCACCATTCGCCCTTTCCTCACCTCTTGCCGATGCTCAGACATCTGTCGATAGCAGAGTAGGTATTTTATGTCTGCGAAAGTATGCATCTGCACAATCTGTGTGAACAATGGATCTTTCATGCTCCTTCATCCTTTGGTGCACATGTGACCAGGTTTTCATGCCATCCTTAACAAATGCCTTCTCATTTCTAGGCTTTGAAAATGCAAGGCCGACTGTACAATATAGAGTTTGTTAGCAATAAGTATGCCGTTAGCAATAAGTAGGCCGTTACTTTGACTGGCCGTTCCATGAAATCTCCCGATGCTCAGGACGGCCAGTCTGACTCTGTCAATCAGCTAATCCGGACTGCTAGCCATTCATTCATCGTCATTCATAGTGCTTGATCCTAGTTCTATCCTGGGAACACTGGTGATAGTTGGGACTACCTTGTGGGTAGGATGATCTGGCATCCCGTCCAGAGTGTATTCTCACCTCACCAGATGTTCCTTTGTTTAGGATCTGGACAGATCTTGAGACCCAAAAGCACCATATACAAAGAGCTATTAATTTAGTACGTTGGACACAAGTGGATTTTCAGGTGGATGCAGACAATGAGTCACATTTACAGCACAGCGAAATTCTTTTCTTCGTATAAATCAGCATGTCAGGAAGTTGGGGACAGAGCACAGGGTCTGCCATGATACAGCGCCCCTGGAGCAGAGAGGGTTAAGGGCCTTGCTCAAGGGCCCAACAGTGGCAGCTTGGCAGTGCTGGGGCTTGAACCCCCAACCTTCCGATCAGTGACCTAATGCTTTAACCACCAAGCTACCACTGACCCCCAGAGTTGTAGCTTGATGCCCAGCAGTTTACCAATGAATGCTAACTAACATTCACATGGCCATCACCGTTCCGTTCCATTCCTTCATTCGACTCGGGCTTTTACAACGTTTTGCTGTGTGTGTGTGTACTTCTCCAGATGGTGTGTATAGACTGTATAGTTGGCAGACAGAACCAATATTGTCCCCTCGTCTCCCGCGATGAGTAAAGACCCTGGAATGGACTCCGAGGACGAGTTATGTAGGGAATGTTTAAATAGAAGAGGGCTGTGAGTTTGGTGTTCAGACCCTAAAGGGGAACTGAAGTCCCGTGTTTTAAGAATTAATGCCTAATGCTACAGTACTGTGTATCATGCAGCGAGATGGAGTAGACGTATACTGTACATAGATATTCAACATGCATAATATCACTACTAATGGTTTATGTTTGGAAGAAACCATCATCTTTACCTGTACTTTGCGCACTGATAAATATTTTATTGGAAGTTATAAGTCTTCTTAATAACATGACAATTTGTGCTTTTGTCTTATTAATATCAACTCGGTTCAGCTTGTGGTTAATTTGGTTAAACCGTCTATAAATGTTTTCTTTCTATATATTCCTCTGCATAATACCAGCAATGTAATGCTCGCTAATCTACCCCGACACAACACTATAGCCAACTAGCGTTAGTTAGCTAGCAACTGCAAAGCAAGGGAAAGATTCTTTCTTTTTGCTAACCGAGGAAAACCATGCGGCCAAGTGTAACTGTTGGTAAATGTCTAGTTAACTGAGGTTCGGTTGTGGTGAAAATGCTAACTGTGCTTAAATAAATGATACTCCCCACCCCCACAAACATGCTAGCTCAGCTTAGGTAGATATAAAGAGGGTTGGGGAGACAAAAAAAAAAAGAGATGCTAGCTGAGCTTAAAACAAGGGATTTAGCTGCTACCTCAGCACGCTACATGGAGCACTAAGCTAACATCCGGTCGACTTTGAACAGGATGTTTGCTTGCCCATGAACTACCATCGCTCAGTAGTGATCATGTTCGTTGCTCTTCTCTTGAAGTTGGGTTTTGTACAATTAGCGTAACAGCGCTGCCTTCAGCTTTTGCTGGCACCTCCATTACTCCTCAATTACAATTACTGAGTCATTTGGGAGTCGAATCAGTTCACTCTTATTGGTCATATTGGAGCAGAATCAATCCAAAAAAAATTCAAAATGCATATGCAAACATTCATCTTGTGCTCAAAACAGAATCAGTTCAAACTTAAAGACTCCTGACCTGATTGTTTTTCTTGACCACGCTAGGGATTTTTGCCAAATTCTCAACATATGTATCGCCGTTCGTGGGAGGTCTGCATGCATGATAAATGTTCACGTACACAAGAGTTTTTGGCACACAGGTGTGCATCAACACCCAAGCTGATGTTTCCATTCAACTTCGAGTTTATTATCATGAAATGACCAGAATGTCCCGACTACCTGAAAATAAGCTAGCTGGACTAAATGAAGTCAACTGCAGAAGACTAAGCTGAAAAACGTCCATCCATCCATACCACCTATCCTACACAGGACCTCGGGGGAACTCGGAGAACGAGGCTGGGGACACTCTGGGCTGGGTTCCAACCCATTGCAGGGCACAATCACACACACCATGGACAGCTTGTTCACTCAAGCGTATTTTGATAATCGGTACAAATATTTACTTTCTCATTAACAGGGGTCGACTAGTAAAGTCGAGTAGTCGTGTAACCACTACCCGTTCATCATAAGACGAGCAGTGATATCCAGAGCTTCTTGCCTAAATCCAGTCATGTGACTAAATCCAGTCAGCGGTCAAAGGGCATGCTCATTAACTCCCCTTGACCCCTCTCTACCTAAAGGGTTTGGGCACAGGATGTGGAATGTCAGTCTGAAGTGAGATCTCTTAGGTCACGTGTTTGAGGGAGTTCATGGAAAACCTGGCCTAAAAATGCGGACTTGATCAGGAAACTCCACACGTCCGTTACATAGCACTGACTGTAGAGTAAATCCATGCATTCGCATTTTCCTCCGTGGTTTTTCGCGAGATTACGACGTTGAACATCCGAACAAATGCGAATAAAAACACACACTGATGGCTTTATTGGACGTGTATTTACGTTGAGGTCGTCCACTTCATGACTGACCTTCTATAGACTGCTGTGTGTTCAGCAAAGCTATTAGTGTGCGAGTGATGTATGCTGGTGTTGACCTAGTGTCTGTCTGCGAGGTGGCTTTTCAAAGACTGCGCCCAGTGTCTGGCTTTGCTTTCATTTATCTTTGCTGTTTGAAAAATGAAGACTTATAAGAAGTCACGAGTGTCTTAAGGCTTTACCTTCGAGCGCTGACACTGGAGACTCCTTCTATGTGACACGATATCAATGATTACACCTCTTTTCTTAAATGTAATAAATAAAAGTTTGTTTACATGGAGCATCCACCCAGTACAAGTCTCTGTGGATGAGCTGTTACTATAGAAACGTATTATTAAAACGTTACTATATTAATTACTATCCGAGCTTCTGTTTTAGAAAACTAATCCAAACTGTCGGACCAATCAGAATCCAGAATTCATCTGCGCTGTGGGTGTGTGTAATGGTAAAAATGGGAGAGGAGGAGTTAATGAAAGTGAACAGGATCAGTTATAAAGGTGTGGAGGAGTTTGAGAGTCTTCTGTCTCTCCGTCTCTCTGTCTCTCTCTTTCAGGATGCCAGGACGAGCGCTTCTCAGGACAGTGCTGCTGCTTTGGTTGGCTCAGCCGACACTTCAGGGTGGAACAGGTAGAACACACACACACACACACACACACACACACACACACACACACACACACGCACATACTGTAAGTAACCTTGTTACATACATAAAGTTATTCTGTTATTCTTCTTGCCATTCAAAGAAACATGGTTTAGACTGGAAAAGTTGAGAATATGAAGTATGGATTTTTCACTGACCGACATTGTTGTTACATTATTATTGCTGTTTGCATCTCATGACTTAACTTTACCAGATTTATTTGAGGAAACATTCAAATCAAAAAATTGGATTTTGGCTGGTTCGATTCAGTTAGAAATGTACTCATCCGAAATAATAATAATTTCCAAATAAAACGTCGGCTTGAAGTCGTAGCTTTAATGTTGATGTTTATCTCTTCATGTCTCAGAAACGAAGTCATCGTGTCAGATCAGATTTGACGGAAAGAATTTGACCTTAATGTGTAAAGATAAGCAAAATTCCAGGTTTTATATTAGGGATGTGGCTAAATATACATTGTGCAATATGCGTTATTTGGACTGAACAGATTTTGGGGATTTTCACCCCAAATTGGTCCGCGACACACGGCGACTACCAACTGTCTAGGGATCAGACTACGTCCGAGACAACCTCTACATCTTATTGAACTACATCATATCCACCATCTTCTGCATACATGAGCACACAAACACTTGGGTAGTATCGATGTGAATCTCTTGACTCCATTAGGACTGAAACTCGCGATCACCCAATGACAGCGTCAACCTTTTTCAGTTGCACCACTCGGGAGACCACCACTTGAGATCCTGCAGGGAGGTTTTTTTTTTACAAGAAAGCCACGCAGTTGAGGTTTTTATGTTCAGAAAGAGCTTGTAAGTCTTGATGCTGAAGCTAGCGGCAGGATTCGCAAATTACATCAACATTCCCACCCTACTGTATCGACAACGTAAAACCCCCACAAAAAGACATCAGGCTTTGGATAAGGGGGATGTATTTTACTTCTTTTTTTTTTTCTCAGTATTTGCATGGGAAAGAATTTAACAGAGGTACGCACGCATTTCTGGAGTATAATAAAGTGACATTCTGCAAATTGCTATGTGTTTTAATTTGAGAATGAAAATGACTTCTTTTTTCCAGCAGCCATGTATTTTTTCTTTTTGTCTCTCAATAATGTTCAATATTTCATTTGTCTTCAAATTATTTGGATCTAATAAAATACATTTGATTATATTTATATTCGATAGACATTTATACAGACCAACCATTATCTGATGTTTGAGGATTTTAACATTAGGATGCATTAGCATTAGCATTAGGATGTCTAATTTAAAGTCTTTTTTTTAAAGGTATAATTTGTCTCAGAAACAACTGTTAGGTGTCTAATAATGAAAATATGATTCAGAATAGGACCGAATTCATTTCCGTTATAATTCTGCTTATTTCTCTGGGATTTGTATCCAACTTATTGTTTTAAGCCAAAATTTAACACCTGAAATTTTTATAGACCGAATCAGAGAAAAAGATTTAAGTAAAAGTAAAACTCAAGTAAAACTCAGTCTAATGTTTATGCATCATGGTTGAACATTTGGATCTAGAGAAATATACTAATTAGATTGAAATACTACGTAGGTATCAGGATTTCTACAATTTTGCCTTTAACCTGTCATTTAAGGTTCTTCAAGATAAATGAATTAGTCTTAGAAACACATTTGCTTGCAATAATTTAAATACCAGATTATTTTAGATGAGACATTTTCCCTTTCTGAAATGCTTAGACGTCTCGATTTTAATGGCGGTTTGTGAAACAAGCCCTCCTTCCATGTCTTTCTTTACTGAACGCTTCCCAGTGCCTGTCCAAATTTGACATCCAGCTGTGAGAATGAGGTTTTATTGCTTGCACACAGTCCCTCCATTGATGCGGCTTTTCTCCGCTCTTTTGCTCAAACCTGTCTCAAGCCTGTGTGGTAGTGAATGTCCAGGACTGGACAGAAATGCAGATCTATGGTCTACTGTTGTAGCTGTAATTCCACTATGAGAAGACTATTGCTTTGACATGGAATTCTATGCATTTTTCAGTTCTATGCATTTCCAGGTTCCAGTGATGTTCGATTTCCTGTTTACAGTTATTCACAGTCCGATGTTTTATCACGGTACTGATAAATATCTGTTTTATTTCAGGGTACAAACCTCAAAATGGTGGTTTGGGCCAAATGTTGATACCATCCAAGGGTAACGTCAATC